GGACATTCCAGGTGCATGCCCTCAAATCGTAGTCCTTTAAACGTTTGCCGTGGTCGTCATCATAAGGTGGGGTCTCATCCGAGCCTTTGCCTTGCTTCTTCACTGGACGTGGTTTTTATGTGGCAGGTCCCAAGCCCAGCGCACAACCCATTGCTGGGACGGGGTTGGTTTCGCAACCAAATACACCTTTATATAGCTAGCCGCTTGCTCCAAGCAAACACCCGCTTGCAGCCGCACCTACTGGTGAACAGACGCTGCAGACTTCAGCCCTTAAACCGAATAAGTCGGAGTGGCCCCACCGAAGCTCCCTCTCTTTCTGCAGTGACCCAAGGCTCCATTCGGATTGGTTACCGCATCTCGCACATGGATTTCTCACGTTGCCCAATTGCGCGAACGAGGACGCAAGAGTCGGGATTGAGTATAGCCATGCAACTGTAACTGCATACCCAGCGCAACGACTATACCCCATTGCACTCCATATACATATAGTAATACCAATATGGATATTGAATAAACTCGAATTTATATTTAATATTAATACAAACGTTTTGCTTTATTTCTCATTCCAACAAATTAAATCGGCCACAACTTTGCTCAAGCGTAGTGCCGGTTTAACATACTGGTATGGTTATTGTGCTTGCCTCATAAAAGCAAAACGTATTCGCAAAAAATATTTCGAAATTTAAGGACGCTAATTTACTCAAAATTGATATACCCCGGCTTACCATGTAGCTGTATTTGCGCCGGGTAATTAATGTTCGGCTCCGCCCGAACTTAGACTTTCTTACTTGTTTTAAATTGTCTTTGCTTTCCCGCAATAGTTTTTCACTATAAACGGCCTCAAGCTCAATAAAAAATCATTCAATATAATTGCTATAAGGCCATAAATGNTAAGGACGCTAATTTACTCAAAATTGATATACCCCGGCTTACCATGTAGCTGTATTTGCGCCGGGTAATTAATGTTCGGCTCCGCCCGAACTTAGACTTTCTTACTTGTTTTAAATTGTCTTTGCTTTCCCGCAATAGTTTTTCACTATAAACGGCCTCAAGCTCAATAAAAAATCATTCAATATAATTGCTATAAGGCCATAAATGTCAAAAACAAATAACTTAAGGACGAGCACACCTAAAAGTTAAACATTCTAAAAATATAATTATTACCAAAACGCAACAAAACCAACAACCACAAAAACAAGTTTAAATAGCACTGGAATAGCTGCGCTTGATTGTAGTTGGCTCAGATGAAAAAAGTGGAAAAAGCAACAACAGTTTATAAGGCGAACTTAGCACAGTGCGTAGGCAACTGGCTGAGTCAGCTGGGGTCGTCGGTTCGAATCCCGCTGAACAAGTCTGATTAAGAAATGTGGTGATTTCCGAAATAGCTATCACGTGTACAACTTTTTTAAATTGTTGTTGTTTTTCCACATTTCATTAAAAACGGCCTCAAGCTCAATAAAATTTTTTTAATATAATTGTTATAAGGCCATAAATAACAAAATAAATAAGGACATAAAAACAAATAACTTAAGGACGAGCACAGCTAAAAGTTAAACATTCTAAAAATAGAATTATTAACAAAAACCAACAACCACATGGACAAGTTTAAATAGCATTGGAATAGCTGCGCTTGATTGTAGTTGGCTCGCATGAAAAAAGAGGAAAAAGCAACAACAGTTTATAAGGCGAACTTAGCACAGTGCGTAGGCAACTGGCTGAGTCAGCTGGGGTCGTCTGTTCGAGTCCCGCAGAAGAAGTCTGATGAGGAAATTTGGTGATTTCCGAAATAGCTATCACTTCTATCATTTTTTGAAATTGTTGTTGCTTTTCCACAATAATTTTTCATTAAAAACGGCCTCAAGCTCAATAAAAAAATGTTGAATATAATTGAGGAATATTTTAACATCGTCTGCAAACATTAAGCATTTCGACGATAGGATATGCGACGGTAGGTCGTTTATAAAAACTAAAAATAATAAAGGGCCTATGTGAGTTCCTTGAGGAATACCCGATGTAGCATTGACTTCAATGTTGGAGCTCGCTGAACCTATTCTCACCAATAACTTTCTATCGATTATAAAACTTCTGAATAAATTCAATAATGTGCCAAATTTATTGAGCTTAAATAAAAGCATGTTATGGTCGACTTTGTCAAAAGCCTTTGAGAAATCGGTATAAACAACATCAAATTGGGTATGTTGTTCCATAGCAGTGATAATGTTGTTTGAAATAAGAGACAAGTTGGTAACTGTAGATTTACCAGACAAAAGCCCGTGTTGGCAGCTAGTTAGGGCATACCGAACGTGTTCAAGTAACTCTTTATTAATTATGTGATCAAAGATTTTTGAAAAACCCCTTGCTTTAGTATAGCTCGATAGTTGGAGATACAACTTTTGTCACCAGATTTAAAGACAGGTTCAATCGAACACATCTTCCAACAGTCTAAAAACTTTGCCACCCTAAATCATATTTTAAAAGTGTGGTAATTGGTTTTACTACATTTTCCACACAAAAAATAAAAACTATTGGGGGAAACCCGTTAGAGTTATAATTAAAGCTTGGTTTGAGGTCTAAGATTGCATTTATAACGTCTTCTTCGGTAATAAAAAACAAGTGTCAATATCATCGATGGGCACTGAGTTAATAGAAAAATTACATGGAGGTGCATAGCTTTCATATACTTCTTGGTATTAGACGCGCAGCCATTATATTCAATTTTATCAGGAATACCAGTCGAATTCCGCCTTGAATTTACGTAATTCCAGAATAGGGACAGATTTAGTTTCAAGTCGTACTCAACTCTAGATATATACTGTCTGAAGAGCTGTTTATGAAGTTGGTCAAATTCGCTTCGAATATGGTTAAAAAACTGAAGATCCTTGGGAAGTTTAGTGTTTCTAAATTTCTTCAGAGCTTAATTTTCAACGTTTTTTAAATGGCTTAATTTCGCATTGAACCAATTCGGTTTACTATTGGGAAGAGAGGTTTTCGAAGGGGCAAATTTAGTGACATCGTGGGAAAATATGTCGTAAATATTTTCATATACTAAATAAGGATCTTCTATTACATCTAAGAAATCCCAATTCATATAGAAAGGAGTTTAAAGCATCGAAATTAGGTTTTCTAAAACATAAGATAGGTTGAGGTTAAGATTTGCATTTGAATTGCTTTAAGTTATTAGATAAGAAAAATCTAGTTACAGAAGATTCAGTTTCAGATTTGATATTAAAGGGTAACAGTCAACCATCGTCAAATGACTTAATAATGTTAGGTAAGTTAAAATCACCCATAACAAATGTCTGCTGATTAGAGTCGACGGATTCAGCAATAAATTTGATGTTGTTGATATGCTGCTCATAAACGCTTAAACTAGAATTAGGCGGTATATAGGATACAAAGAAATAAATGCATTTGATTTAACTGCTAATAACACTCCTCCTCCATGAACGCAACCACTAGCACTAGGGCATCTATCATGGCGATAAATAGTATAATGATTATCAAAAACTTAGAGCTGGAAATTTGCCAGCATAGCCAGGCTTCAGTTATAGCAATCAAATCATAGTCTGGTAGTGATGTCGCAATCCTAAACTTGGATTTCGTTCGGATACCACTTGCATTTTGATAGTATAATGAAAAGGACTTAAGTGACATTGAGCCAGAAGAAGTAACAAAGAGTGGGCCGCCTCTTAGCCTGCTACGTCTTTCTCCCCTTCCGTTTGAAAAAATTGGAATGGTCGAACTTTAATATTTGTTGTCCATAACTTTGCGTTAAATACAGCATTATAAAAACAAGGAGAGACTCCAAGTTTAAAGTTTATGCTTCTTAATTTATTTACATTCACATTTTTCTTTACTAGCGTAAAGCCTGATAAATGAGTTCTACTGATTCCAGTGTGCTTTGTAACGTAAGAGATAATATTATCTTCTTTAACAGTATTTTTAAATGAAGAGAGGTGAATCCATCTTTTCTTGGCGACTACGTCGAGCTCCGAGTTATCATTCTTACCAACACAAACTCATAGTTCTATATTATCTACTGTGTTAATTTTGCCACCTGGTAACTTTAAAACATTTTACCATGTGGTAACTTTGTTTGTTGCTGGTTCCCATACTAATTAGAGATGACACTTTTAGGCAAAATTACTCGACTTTGTCTCATGTTTTTGTTCTGTGTTAAACTGGCATCTCTGATCAGCGCTAAGACAAAATAGAAAGTGAAGCAGAAAACATAAGGTGGGCGCAATTTGAAAGATCTTTTAAATATATATATATATATATACCACCTTTTAACTTTAAAAGTAAACTCTGAATACCCTATTTGTTTTGGGTATTTCTCCCCTCATTGGATGCAGCATCGAAGGTGTTTGCCGGTGAGAGAGCGTTGGCATTAGTAGCAGCGGTTGGCATGGGAGTCAGTGTTGCCGCGAATCATTTTTAGCGGTAGCCAAATTCCGTTAAAAAAAGGGCTAAAAAAGAGCTAAAAAAAGTCGTTGTGGCTAAAAATGATAGCTAAATTTTTTACTTACATATACATATATAAGTATACACGCAAAATATTTATTTCTTTACAAATTAGTAGTCCACTTGCAAACAGCGTTAGGTGATTTTATAATAGAAAGCCATAAATTTGAAAAAACGATTACGACAACAAGTAACATTTAAATTGAATCTTTTTTATTATTACCTGAAAATTTGGATAAATAAGAACCTTATAAAATTATAACATAACATACCATGACATAAGATAACATTAAAAGTCTATACGACCTAAAGCAGTTTTCTAGGTTCATCAGAAGATGGATACTTTTGAAAGTTTATAAATGAGTATGATAGCGACTTTTGGAAGAAGAGTTAACATTTTATGCTATTTTTTCAGAATATAAAAATATTTTGCACTGTGTTGTTAGTGGACATGAAACTACTTTAAATACTGGTACGTAATCCACCAAAAACTAAAAATCGAAAAAATTTTACATAGCGCCCTTTGCAAGTGGACTACTCAAATGACGTCGAGGAAAGATCGAAATGATTAGAGCCGAAATTTTTATAATTATTCTACCATTTTTTTAAACATTGTTTTTTTTTTAAATTCACGACTGCAATATCGTGAACTTAATCTTCCACAAACACGGCTTTGGGCAAGAAATTTCCGCCAAAATACTTTTTACTTAGAAAATTTAGCTAATTTCACCAGTGATGACACCAGCATGCTGGTACAATCATAAAATTTTCAAATAGTTTTTGAAGTCACACCAGCACCTGGTACAATCACACCACAAGAACATACACGGTCAATCGACTTGATGGGCCATTTAACAAATAAAGCATATTAAGGGCCGTAAATTTATCTATTTTAAACTATAGTAGTATAAAAACGTAAGGAACATACAATACATAAATGTATAAATATATGTATATCAGTCTTTCTTAGTTTAAAAATGCATCTCTTACATAGATAAAAAAAAATTAGATCAAATTAAGCATATACAACTTTTTCATGCCAAGTATAAATAAATTTTCCAAAGGGCTAAAAAGGGCTAGAGGCAATTTTAAATTTATGTGGCCAAAAAAAGTATCTGGTAGCTAAATCTAGCCACCAAAGAGCTAAAACGGCAACACTGATGGGAGTATTAATGTTTACATCAGCAGCATCTGCGGTGGAGTTGATAGACGAAGACGCAGCAGTATGAATGTCAACAATAGGAACGGTTGTACCGGCAGCGGCGTAGGTACTCGCCAGCATGAGGACGTTGGCATTTCCAGCAGTAGCAGTAGTGGACATGATAGCATTGGCAGTAACAATAGGAGAAGCATTGGTCGTAGTAGCAGAAGTGTTAGTATAAATAACAGAAGCAGCATAAAATTAGTACAAAGCGAAATGGCTGGCAGTGGCGATCCATTTGCCGACGAAGTCTTGGTACTCAATGCATTTTTGACAGGATTGTTTACACCCTAGCATAAATTATGTTGAGCTTAGTATAACTGTTGAGAACGCTGCGAAGATTTTTAATTTCGGCATTAAGTTGTGTAATGTTAAGAACTATTTCGTTTAGCATAGACTGCATTTAACGTACTTCAGCATGTGAATCCTCAATTTTTTTGATTTGTTGTGTTTTATCTTCGTGCAAAGCATTAACATGAGAAATCATACGCGCATTCTCAGCTCTAAGAGTACATATTTCCTTAACCCTAGAACACACACCCGGGTACAAATGTATCCACTTTCAACTTTGAAGTGTTGTAATTTTTGAACCGCTATACCTCTATACCGCTAGATTATTTAGTTTTGAGTTCAAATTCAAAATTTGAACCAGATCGGACCATTGGTTCAGGAGCTACAGCCTTCCAAACACATTATATACGTAAACACACACCCGGGATACGTTTGTACCCCAATAGTAAAAATCCTCATAATAATAAAAAAAAAA